TTATTTACGATTATAGCTTTCGATTTAATAGATATTCCTTTATTTTTCTCTGTTTTCCTTTCCGAGAAGGTAATTACATTTTACATTTGAGGAATGGAATTGGAAAGGATTAGATAAAAGGATTTGTGGGAATTTAAGGTTTATGGGTAGATTTGTTGATTATTGGGGATTTTTGGAAAGCTTTCTTTGTTTAACGCTCATAATAACGTATTTAATCATAATGAATAGTCAGAAGTTCCATGGATAAAGAGAGTCAACTTCTGGGAGTCCTTTAAACGAGTCAACTTCTGGGCATATTATAATTTTCTCCAGTTTTCACTTGCCTTATCCTCATTCTTCCTTAATTCTTATTGTACATCAATAATCACCGGAGGGTAGAATGGCCCATTGGGTTGTTGCTCAATTCCGAGCTGTGCCGATGTTGAAGTTCTACTCCTCGCAGGAGTAAACCTGTCCAAAAATCCGAGTGATGTTGGCGACTCTCGTGTATTTATCGCCAAAGTACTCCTGGTATATTTTTCTAGTGCGACAAGCCAGCGGAGCGAGTGGGGTTCTAACAAAAAATGTTAAGGGGTCTTAAAAAAAATATCAATAGTCACTATTACGTTTCCGATTTTATAATTCGTAATTGCGACAGCGATTAAACTAAACAATGAGTAAATTTTTATAGGGCATTAAATGAGCACATTAAATGAGCAGATGGATTAAGGAACTACAATTGACTTTGAAGCAGCTGAAACGAAAAATATCTAGGAGATTGGATTTACAAATGGATTTTATCAAAGATATATTATGGCTTTGAAGGAAAATAGCGATATTTTAGGGATATTTAAGAGTTATTTGATAACATTAGAGGTTTTAACAAAATATAACAACAATCTTTTCGGGAATGTCGAAAGATTTCATTTGATAAAATTTCATTTGATAAATTTGATAAAATTTAGAATAAAAAATTTGAGCATAGCATAATATGAGGCTTTATCATAAAGATGATAATTTATACAAATTTATAGCTGATAAAATCTGATAAAGCTTGCAGAAATCACTGTAATAAACATTCTCGAAATTAGAATTTCTTTGATTAATTTTTTTTTATTAATGTTATTTAGGTGGATATTATATAATGCGAGTTTGGCCTGGAAATCGACTTAGTGCTGATCATCGAATGAGATTTAAAGATGTTTTAAGGAAAGCATTTGGTGTCCTCAGGGTAATTTTTTTTTTTTTAAAGCGTACTTACTCACTATTACTGGTCCTCTGTCTTGTCGCACTAGGAAATACACTTGGCAATAGAAGTATAAATGGGTCGCCAGTATCACTCAGCCTCAAGTTTTGATTTAATTGGTTTAATATTGCGAATTCTGGCAAAAAAATTCTCGTTTTCAGCATAAGCCCTTTATTATTTTGCTTTGCATGATATATATATTATATGAAGCGACTATTTTATTATTTATATTCATATGGTCACCAATCTTAATTTATTCATTCAATTCAAACTTGCTTTATTCTGTTCATATTAGGTTTGTTTTTTTAAAATATTTACGAATTTAATAGAATGCTATAGCAAAACTGTGAAATTCTAATGGTCAACTAAACCAGTTGAACCAGAAATGGTGCAAGAAATTTCTCCTCTTCTAATCGCATCGTTGCTTGTTTCACTGGCTGCAGCGATGATTTCCAATATATGAAAAAAAATGTAGAACATGTTTTAATGTTTTATAATGGATATTAAGTAAATATTCATAATATAGTTGTCTTATTAGTTTCATATATCGTATATCTTTTATTTCCAACAGCCATTTTCCCAAATTTTTTGGTAATTATTTTCGTGTATCGTAAGACAAGCAATATTTTATGCATCGTGCTGTTTAAGATTTTACATTATCTTAAAAATATTTAAAATGTTCACTGGTAAAATTAAATTGCGAGTTTTCTAAATAATTTCGTTTTAAGTTTTGGAGGTATATATGCGACATTGATGAGTTCCATATTGTCTGGTCGTATTTGTTATCAGTTTTTGCATCGTCGTTTATCAACCACTTCTGTTCTTTGTATAGCGTCGATGTTCTCGTTTCTAACACTTCTCATAATAACAATTATTATTTCCTCAATGAATTCATGGTCTTCATTTTCATTAAACTTATTTCTTGTGCTTTTTTCCATATTCGAATTTTCAGTTGGTCTCTATTTGTCAGCGATGAACGAACTTCAGGTTTTTATTGCTATTTTTTCGCTATTATTTTTAGTTAATTGGTGGTTGCCTTCTGCAAATTTTTAATGATTATAAATAAATAAATAAATATGTTATGCGCTTATTAAAATATCTAATACTAGCAGCGATAATAATAATGTTATATGTAATGATTTAATATAATCAGGGTTAGCCCATTTTTGATAAGGCTCGTCCTGCAGGACCAGACAAGTTATAGAAATACAAATGAGTCTTCTTAAGTATCCTGGATTTATGAAAGATAAGGTATTTCCTACAGAGAATAGCATCTGCACTTCGAAATGAGAGCAATAACCCGCTGAGTCGTTTTAATTTCAGTAATAAGTAATGATAAAATATAATGAAATAATAAAAATAAACAATAAAAATTGCTGAACCATTGAATTTTCTCCAATATTTTTTTTTCTTTTAATTTGCTCACCATCAGCGTTAGATTTCACTGATCTAGCTTGTCGCATCTAGTCAAGTATACCAGGAAGTTCATTGGCGGTGGAAATTGGAAATACACAGCCACCGAGATATTTAATATTTTCTCAAATATTTAGTGTATATTGCAAAATTTTTATAAAATTTTTTACCATTTTTCAGATAGAATTCATATCAGCTGAATATCGAATTGTTTTATTAGCTTTATTGCGTTTACCGTTGATTGCAATCGCTGGTTTCGGAGTGCTTCTATTTCATGTTAACTTTAACGATTGGAAACTTTCTGGTTTCGCGTCGATGCTACTTTGTTTAGCGACATTTTTATCATTTTTACTTCATTATTTCAGTGTGAACAAATATGATAATGAATTTTTTGATCATTTTGTTGTGCTGAAAATTTCATCAGATTCAACCGAAAAATTCAAAAATTTACAAAGGAATATTTGAAATTTCCAGCGAATTTATTTTCATTTTATCATTTCGTATTAATAAATAATAATCGGTTGCATTTAATTAAATTTATTTGAAATTAATTTTTTTCTTAACTTTTTTCTTATTTAAATTTTATTTTTCTTATTTAAATTTTATTAATTTCCTCTTTTTTTCGAAATAAAAAAAACCATAATGAAATTCTTTTATTCAATAAATAAATTTTTTATAATAATTTAGAATTCCATCTTTAATTGGTTCGCTTTTATTCTTATTTAATTTCTTAGCTCTTTGTTTTTTTTTAAATGCTGTGGGCGCATTTTGCTGTCTGATAAAAGCCGACGGGTAGCCGCCGCCTCTTAAAATATTTTACTTCATAGGATAGTTGTTTTAAAGCTATAATATTGTATTGTACGAAAGTAATATGGTGGTGATTTTTATGGTTTTTTTTTGCGGTGACAAACCGTTATCGATAAAAACTTCTACGAATTTATTGCTCATATATTACTCAGTGAAAATCATTTAATGTTGGAATGTTATATATTTCAATTAAAAATTGGTGGAAAATATGAATTTTTCTCTAAAACAACTTTGTGGATTTGTTAAGGATTATTAAGTTTTATTTCTTTTACCCGTGGATCCCTATAAATGTTTTCGTTGGTTTACTGAAAATCGCAGCAATTAGTGTTTTTCGATAATGAATTGTATAAAAATTTTAAATTTATCATTAATAATCGTTATTCGTTGATAGAAAATGAATTTATTTTCGACATTATTTGAAAGTTGAAAAATAAAAATTTTTTTCTGATTAATATTTATCATTTATCATTTTTGATGTTTGATTAAAACATTTATTTATTTGTGATTTTCATATTTTCAATGTTTGGATTTCAAGTTAATGAAAAGAGTTCATTTTGAGTTCATTTCAATTGATAGGTTTCCTTTTGCAAATTTTTTTGGAGTCTTTTAGGTTTTCAAAAATTAATTTTATTTTTTTTCAAATCAGCAACGACAATTATATTTTCGTATTTATCATAGTTTTTTTTTTTTTTTCTAGGTTATGAATGAGAAACCATTTTCGTGGAACAGTTTTATGGAGAGCGATGCAAGTTATCCGGCGAATGATGCTCGTTTATTTCCACATATTATTTATGGACAAACTTCAATTTTTAATATGCTAGTTTTAAAATAATATAAAATTTAAAAAATAATATTACAGAGATTTAGAGATAAAAGAGATTTAGAGATAAAAAAGTTTTCTGATTTGAGAAAAAAGCTTAAAAAATATTTTAGATTTTAGAAAAATATTCTAATTGATTGATTAAATATGTTTGATTAAATAAATTTATTTTGCGCAAAAAGGAAAGTTGTATTGTCAGCAGGAGGGTACTTCAAAAATCACCAGGTGATGCTGGTAATATATTCCCAAATGAGGTTTTATCGGGTACGATAAGCCAGTGGAACGAACCTAACTAGAAATGATATGCATTTTTTAGAGAGGAAAAATTGTTGTTTGCTAGTAATTTATTTTTTTAGCTCATTATTTTTGGATTTGTTTCAGTTTCATTTCACTTACCATTATGACTCTCGGCTGAGAGTCACTTATAGTACCATTTAGTAGACGACAATTTAGAAAATAATGAACTAATGGTGAATGTTGGTGTGTATTTGTCCTGTGCACTACTTCTATCCATATTTATCTAATAAAAATTGAAAAAAAAATTAAATATAATTTTTAGAAATATTAATAAATTAAAATAATCATCTTTCTTCTTCTTCCACTCATCCACCTTCGCTCAAATTCCACTTGCAGTACCATTTTAGAGCGTTTCCTTCGTTGGTTAGAACACATTCTTGATCGTGACACATATTTTGTTACTTGTTAAACCCTGTGATGGGTGGTGTCAAAAGTGAGATGGTCCCATCATGTTCTGGACCGCTACAGTCGGAAAAAATTTTGGACGTAGAGATGGACCAGCAATATATGGACTTAGATGATGGAAAAAGAGATAGTTTCCGTTACTGTCTCGATGGCATCAAGTCGCCAACTTGGAAACTTTAGCTTTTATTCTTATAGCCGTGGAGCCAATCTAATCAGCAATGAGAACTGTTAGAACTATTCGTCCATGATATTATTAAATATTCTGCAGATTAGCAACCTCGTTGCACAACTAATTATCCAGGAAACTTATAATATTATTCAGTATAACTAACGTTTAGTTCTTCTTTCCCTTAATTTCTTCCGGGATTTGATAGTTGCACGTCACCAGTGGTATAACTCTATTTCAACTGAGCTTCATTAATATCTTTCATTCTTTCCTTTTTGGTTTTTTTAAATATTTTATATATATTTTTTGGTTTCTTATTTGTTATATATGGAAGTATATTCTGTATTTTTCTAAATGCATTTTTGCATTTTGTCTTCCTTCATTTCTTATTTAAATTTTATAAGCAAAATTTATTTTGATGCGCAAATTATTCATTATCTTCTTGTGCTTCCCCTTTTATTTTTTTTCTTTTATTAATTTATGTTAAATTTTCTTATAATACTTAATTAATTTATCCATCCATCTGATAAGCTATTGATGAATTCGATAAGCTATTGATGAATTTGCTCATTTCAGATGTTCGTCATTTTGTTTTAATAAAATTAATGATAATAATATAAATGAAAGTAAGTAATGAAAATAATATAATGCGAAGTTTCTTGTATTATAAATTTAATCATGAACATTGTGTAAAACATTGAATCTTTTATATATTTTAATTTTCATTTAATTTAGAATTCTCCATGTTGGTCGACGAATTAAAATAAAACAAGAAAATGGTGAAATTATTCGTGGAAAAGTCGAATTGGTTTGTAAAAATAAATTATTGGTATCGATAAAAGATTCGGTTGAATGGATTGATGTGGATGCGGTTGTGGCTGATAATGATAACGAAGTGGTATTTTAAATTTGTTTATTTTTCCGGAAATAGATTTTGTTGAAATTAAGTGATAATTAATTGAGAAAAAATAGTTTTTTTTGAGAAAATTTTATTAAAAATTACCAAATTTTTAATATATTTTCGGAAAACAATCATACCACTGATTATTCAATGATTGTTATGGCTTTTTTTCGAATTCTTTTTTTTGATGTTAACAAACTTCGGATAATGCTAGCGATTTATATATACATTTCTTTGGCCAAGGCTTCATAGCAAAATTTACCTATCCGGTAAGCTAGCAGAGAGATCTTAACTAGAAATAATGAGAGTTCTTGGAAAGAAAAAACAGGAAAAATAATACAAATATGAAATAATACAAATAAATAAATAAAATAAATAAATAATATAATAATAATATAAATAAATATGAAATTAATGAATGAAAATCTTGAATATTTTTGATTTTTTATGATATTTTACCTATCGCTTAAATTACAGGAACTTCCTTGTTCAACTATTTCCTTTTTTATATATGTCAGGTCGCACGTAATCATGTTTGATTAATTACAAAAAAACTACTCAGGCGCCAAGTATGGTGGAAGAAAAAAACAGTGGCATGAAAAATCGAATAAATAAACCTCTAACAGTTGAAGACCTCGCAGTTGGTTCGAGCAATCCAGTGGAACTGATAAAGGTTATAAATTGTTATCGCTCAAATACAAAGGGTTAGTGTTGAAATTTAAAAAAAAAAAGAGAAAAATTTGATATTCTTCTGTAATTTGATTTATAGAAAGGACAATTCTTGGAATTACAAGATTCGCGTAATCCTTGCATTGTTCACATCGCTGAAATTTTATTAAATCGTGGTGGCTTATTGACTCTCTACTATAATAACCGCGACGAAACTACTTTTTTTACGAATGAAAGATGTCATGAAATCGGTTGGGTTTCTAAGCAAGAACAATGTTGTGAATATTCAACTGAAAGCAGTAAATTGCTTGATAAAGCGCGCTTAAACGCTGTACCTCATTACGTTTTTGGTTTCACCATAGTGCCTGAACATAAGCTGGAGGTATTCATTTTGAATTATTTTTACATTTCTTAATTTTTTTTTCTGTATTTCTTATTATAATCCTAATTTAAATTCTGTGCGTTGCAGAGAGGAGAGTTTGTGCCTAATGTCGTAATCATAAAGAATAAAATGAGCGATTTGAAGATTATTGAAGATAATTTAATTAAAATTGTTCAAAAATTTGTTTTTTATAATTGTTTTTTGAATTTTCTCAATTTTAATTGGCTATTGATATAGGAAGAGATGATGGTGGAAGTATTGGACACGACAACAAAAGGAGGAATTTTTTATCCTGGTTATATCTCAGAAATCCTCAATCGCCACTATTTTCGTGTTCGTATTTCTCAGAAAATCAACGGACCGGTACGTGAGATTTTATGCCATCGTTGGTCTCCCTATATATTTCCAGTTCATTTCTGTGAACGACAAGCTTTGCGATTAACTCCTCCGCAAGGTGATTTCATCTTTCTTTTTTGAATTACGTAGGCCTTTGTACATTTTTTTTGCCTTTGTATGTTCAATTTGGGGATAGGATGGATTAATGGGTTATTGCTCGATTGGGAGCACCGATGCTGAGGCTCGATTCCTTGCAGAAGTAAGCCTGTACAAAAACCCGGTGATGCTCGCCAATAACCTGTATTTCTATCGCTCCCTGGCATATTGCTCAATTACGACAAACCAGTGAATTTAACTAGTAATGGTGAGGACTCTTTAAAAAAAAGTTTAATATGAAATATATTCATCTTCCTTACATTAAGATTATGGATTAGAGACTTTTACATGGGATAATTACCGACAAAAATGTAATTTATCGAAGGCTAGCGTGCCAGAATTGCAGTTTGATGTGCCAAAAGAAGTTAATATATTTGATAAATTGCGCAATATCGAAGTTAGCTTTTTATTTTTTATTATTTTTTTATTTTTTTTATAATCTTTTTTTATTATTCATTGTTTATTCTCATTTAAAATATGAGAGAACCTCAAACATCCATAAGAATTTCATATTTATTGATGCATTTTGATCATTTAAATAATGATTATGAGGTATAAAAAAAGAAATCATCTAGCTTCTGTTTAAATTTCCTTCAGACTTTAAATTTCCGAAAAATTCAAATTTTAAGAGTTTTAAAAATCAATTCAATATTTTTAAGGTATTCGACGTGCGTCGTAACATAATGTATCCAGCAAAAATCGTTCGTTCATTGGGTCATCTGATTTGGATCCATAAATGCCATATTAGAAATGCATCAGCCCCAACAGTTCTCTCAACAAAGTCATTTTTTATTTTTTTATTTATATTTTGGGAGATTTTAATAAATGGTTATTTTTTGCATCAAAGATTTTCTTAAGGTCGCACCTTATCTTTCCTTGCAAATTTGCCGAAAAAAATGCTATACCAATGGAGCATGCAGTTTCATATTTCAATATTAGTGAAACAACAGAAGAAGATCGCTTAAAAATGAAAGCCGATTTTACATGTACTAGAATACCAACTTTTGCCGATACTGACAAACGTTTTATATCAAAAGTTTGGATCGAAGGTTCGCATTTTTTCCATTTTATAAAAATTCAGTCGTTAATTCGTTGATTTTTTAATTTAAGTCGTTGATGAAATGAATTCATTAGTCAGATAGATTTTCTAAAATCTTGCCAAAAACTGAAATAACGAAATCTGCATTTTAATAAATTTTGATCTATGATTTAAATTTAGGAGACTTATGGATGCCGGAAATTTTTGTCAAGAGAACCTGTTTTCCTGGACCATTTATTGATCCGGAGAAGTTTTCATACATCCCTAAATGGTAGCTTTTCCTTTTAATAAGCAAATTTTTTTCTATAATTTAATTTTCAGCCAATTAATTTTTCATATTTTTAGTTATGCGCCTGGTCCTATGCCATTAATCATGAAAGTTATTGTTGCTGATCTCATATGTGCAGCTTATGATCCGAAAACATTATGTGAATTAATATCATGTAATAGAGATTTGCAAAAACCTTATATGACCATAAAAGCTCGGTAAATTTGTAAATTCATCTCTTTTATTTATTTATTCATAAAAAACTATTCGAATAAAGGAATCCTATAATCATATTTCATAATGTTTTTTTAGACGTAAAGTGAAATCGTATAATGTACGATTGGAGTCGTGTGAACGAAAGACAGAATTTTGTGGTTGGCTTCGTGGTGTATGTTTTCTTCTTGATGCATGTCCCGAAATTTATTCTGTTGTTAAAGATGATGTTTGTCATTCAGACTGCGGTGAATTTCGCGTAGGTTTTTCTTTGGTTTAAATTGTAACAAAAATTTTTCTCAAAAAAAAAAAAAATTCTGGCTCTTCAATTTATTGAATATTTCTCATACTAAAACCAGCTTATTTAGAACCAACCGTCTATGAATTTTCATAAAAATATTTGGACTTTTGCAATGAATATTCCAACAGCGAAAAATTTAACGAGGTTACGTCGACTGGGAAAAGATACAAATGTTGTTGCTACTAATTTAACGAATCAATCTGTTCTAGGACGCAAGAGAAAATTTTGTTCGATCTACACTGTTAGTAGTTTTAATAAGAACCTCACCATTGCTGGTTAGACTGATTCCCTTCCCTATAGAGATATCCTCCTTCTTCTTCTAACATCTCTCACCATTAGTTAGGCTGGCTCCGCTGGCTATAAGTATAAGAAATTCTGCAAGCTGTTCGATCTGACATCGCTATTCCATCGCTAGTAAAATAGAAGCCATTCCTTTTTCCATCGTCTAAGTCCATATATCGCTGGTCAAAGATATCCTCAATAAGAAATTATCGAGATATAATGGTTTATAAAGCGATTATCTTTTTAAGATTATTTCAAAATATTTTTTTCTCAAAAGGTTGTTTCCTTAATTGTTATTTATAGTCACATGAACCGTCAACATTATCGGAGGCTTCAGTCATTAAAAAGCGATTGAAGAAGCAGCGGAAATCTGTTCATTCTAAAATAAAAACCGAAACGGCAGAAAAAGAGAATACCATTCAACCAGTTTCTCAGTCGTTAGCTGAAGAAAATGAGCAAGCTTCCCAGTCGAATTTGCCGTCAGATAATCAGGTATGATATTTTTATATTGAAGAGAGTATTTGGAATTCATGAATCAGTTTAACGAATTTATCCTAGGACCCAGCTGTGTTGCTTTGTTAAACGTTTTGATTTCTGTTATATTTTTGTTATATTAAATTGTTTATATCAATTTCAGGAATCAAACCAATCTGCACCTACTCAAAAATTAAATAACGAATTATTATTTGAATCACAAAGTGTGACATATTTAGACACCTGCAATTTACCAGAAGTGACGACCAATCCAAAAATGTGGTCCACACCGGAGCTTTTAGAATGGATTAAACAGACTCATCTTTCTTTTATCAGCGATCGTCTCGAAAAAGAAGTTTCCTATTTTTTGTTTCTTTTATTTGAATTTGTGTACATTTCTTTTTTTAAACATTAAAAAATGCCATCGTTTTTTGTAAATTTCAATTAAATTCCAGGAAGTTGATGGGGAAGCTTTTTTGTTATTATCTCTTACGGAGTGCATGGGTGGTTTGCAGTTGAGGCTTGGTCCCGCACTAAAAGTTATCGCCATTGTAAAAGTAAGTTTATAAGTTTATCCTTTCCTATCGCTGTTTATCAATTTATTTTTCTTTTAATCGTATTTTCGTTTTCTACTAATTTTTGTAAATAGTTATTTATCGTTTAATCTTGGCGGCTTTCAAGAGATTATATTGGAATTATAGTGGATATATAGTGGAATTTTATACTATTTACACTATTTATACCTCTTCACTCGTTGATTTAGATTTGTCGTTTTTTTAGGAACTGAACAAGATTTATCAAAGGAATTTTGCATAATCGAGGTGTCTTCGAGTTTATATTTATTTATTGGATTATTTATTATCAGTATCATTAAAATCGCTAAAAAACTACATTTAAATATATTGGTGATCTTGTTGAATGCAATGCTTTTATCATAAATCCTTTCGTAACTGGTGGTGAACGCACTTATTGCCTTTGTATTGTATTATAATATGTGAATTTATTACGGAAATAAAACTAAATTTAAATTTAAACTATTAAATTTTTCTTTTTTTATACCTCGTTTATATCATTCTTCTTATTTTTTTACCGTTTTGATTTGGCTGGTTCCACTACCATTTCGGATGAGAATCCTGTGCTACTTTGCAAATGCAGTTATGTCGCAGCACTATTCCAATATCTCTTTTAGATTTACTCATGTCAGAAAGCAGAACTAACCTATGATGCGCAGCGTACTACATACTACTCTGTATGTAATTTAATAATATGCATTAAAATTCCTTTTTCTTTCCCATTGAAAATTTTATAGGTTGAAAAAAACGCTATAAATATATATATATAAATATGCGGGGTGTTTGACAATAATATTTATCATTATTTTTATTTTATTATTAATGTTATAAGTTTATTTATTGTTTATTTTTTAACATTTATATTATTAATATTTATTAATTGTTTACTATAAAAAGAAGTTTAGCTTTTGAAATTTCATCTGTTATTTTGATTAATTTGATAAAGTCGAGGAGTTAATTTTATATTTCACTTTTCAAAAAAAAAAAAAAACAATTTTCTACACAACTGAAAATAAATTCCAATAAAAAAAATTCATAATCCAAATAATCCAAAAAAAATAATCCAAAAATCATAAGCACCCAAAAATCGAACGATAATTCCGTACAATTCAAGTATACTGATAATTGATTAAATGTTTGTTGCATTAATAAAAAGATCGAAAAATGTTTGATTGTGAAGAATTAGTTCGGTCGGTGTGTAAGCCCATAGTGGAAATCGATTTAGTTCAAATAAATAGCTGAAAATTTTCTATAAAATATTCAATATTAATCGAATAACGATTAACGATATTCATTTATTAGAGTTATAGATTTTCAGAATTCGCAACTTTGAGAATGAGAAAGTAAGGTGAGGTGAGGTGAGGTGAAATGAGGTGAGGTGAGGTGAGATGAGGTGAGGTGAGGTGAAATGAGGTGAGTGGTTTAAAATTATTCGTACCTCCTTTTTATATTTAGAAATCTGCGAATCTTTTTCGCTAAAGACTTATTTATTATGTTGATTAACTGAATACAATAGAAAGATTTGGAACATAGAATAAAATAAGCAAAAACTTACTTTCCCCAACTCATCATTGCTAAAATGACGAAAACACAACATTCTATGGTTACAATCGTTCCTGATATGATCTAGAAAAAAGACAATAAAAGCCAGGTTTTTTTTTAAAGAGCATTCACCACTGGTGGTTAGATTAGTTCCGCTGGCTTGCCGGACAAGACAAATAAGCTAAGAGGCCCTTTAAGTACAGTACAGGTGAGCCGCTAGGTGAGCTGCTAGGATTCTTGAAGAAAAAACTTACTCTCACCTGGACTAATTAGTTTACTTATTAATATCAAAATTCAAGACGTTTCGTTTTTTTGCTTCATTTGGAATCGCATTTATAAAAACTTACCAAATCTTTAGCTTTAAGAAGTCCTGAAGCAAAAACGATAGCGTTCGGTGGAGTTGCTACCTGAAAAATTTTTTCTAAATAAATAATTTTTTCTCTTAGGGAATAAGATGGCTTAGGTGTGATTTTTGTTTAATTTGCAGCGCCGATGCTGAGATTTCTCGGCAGAGGTAAATCTGTCGAAAATCCGATCATGCAGATGCTTCATCTGTACTTCTATCGCTAAGAGATATTTATCTAATGCGACAGGACAGAATTTAACCGATAATGGTGAGGGCTTTTTAAAAAAATCTTGATAAATAATTTTCACATTTACCGAATTTCAAAATTCTTTAAAGTGGAGCGTTGGAAAAAAAATTTGAAAATTTGAAAAATTTTATCTAAGATCGCAAAGAGGAAATCGCTCCAACTCTATGAGAAAGAAACAATTATTTGATGCCTTAACGGATAAAGAAGAAAAATAAATATTAAATATTTAAAATAAGTAAAAAATAAATAAATATTTTGAATTAACCAAAATTGAATCTTACAGGCAGTGTGAATGCCAGTGAGGATGCAATGGTCACAGGAATCATTAAATACATTGGATGAATTTCCAAGGATTTAGCAAGACCAGCGAAAATTGGAATAAATATGGACGCTGTTACCGTATTACTGCATATATTTGTTATGAACACAGTGATAAATATACATATCATCATGATAATATTTGTAGGAAATATTTGTAAATGTTCTAAAACTTCGCCAATTTTATAGCTTAGATTCGATTCCTGAAGAGAATTTTTTATATTTTTTATATTTTGTATTTTGTATTTTTTTTTTTATAAATTTCTATCATTTTTCTTTCGAAATTTTTGTCTTTATTTTGCTATTATTTCGTTTTCACTTTTTGTTAAATCAGAAAACTTTGACAATCTATGGAAATATAAATTGGTTCCCTAGTTGTTAATCCGTATTTTTCTTTTCTTTTTTTATGAATATCCAAGAATTATAAGTTTATTTGTAGGTAAACGAATAGAAATCGAATATATCATCCACGTCAATTAAATAATAAGTCAATCGAACTGTAATAAAAATTAAACAATCAAAATCAAAGACTTTTTTATAATTCAGTAAATATAGTAGTAATAACCTGTACACCAGCTGCCATAGCAAAACCACCTCCGAGAAGTAAAACTACGCTCCACGGAAATTTTGCCTGCACTGTTTTCCAATCTAATAAACTTTGACTTGCTTTTTTCTCAGCTTTATCTGACCAAAAATTAATTAATATAAATTTTTTAAGTTTGTATAAATATTATTTATTTATGAGTAATTACCACGAGTTATTAAAAGATAAATAGATTTATTTAATCAAAATAATAGGCTTTCTTAAAAATATTATCACTTTTTTGCGATGATTTTAGATTCAAGGACTATTATTTCTATAAATTTCTGAAATTAGTTTCTATTTAAATGAGAAAGAGTTGTAGAAAATGATAACGATGATATAACGATGGTTATATTAAATGATGATGATTATTATAAAATGGTAATGCTTGATAAAATATTAATGATTATATAGAATGACAGTGATTATATAAAACAATATATGATAATGATTATATAAAATGATAATGATTATAAAACTCGGTGGTATTTATATGGTGATTGACTAATATTATGCAACTTTGATATTTTATTTTTTATAATTTCCTGATATTTTGATTTAAAATTTTAATAAAAACACGGCATAATTATTTATTTTTAGCTATCATTCAGCGAAAAATATACGAAATATATGATAAGAATCTGAATTAATTTTGCATAATTTATTAGTACCAATTATTGGTAGATAACTAACTATGACTTGATTATTGCAATTTAATAATTTCACAGTTTAACTTTATCTATTACTTCGTCTCATTTCGGAAAAGTTTGGCCTTTTTTCTGGAAGAGCAAAAAGTAATACTGTAATAAGCATCGCACTCGTAGCATCCGTTACATAACTAAAATATTTTTTTTGCATTCGATAATTTTTATTTTCTCATTTTTTGCAAAAGAATTTTTACAAATAATTTTAATAATAGAAATAAATGAGGTAAAATGAGCTAAATAGTGTTATTTAAAGATTTATTTTTTTAGAAAATTATTAGAAAATTTTTTACAATTCTTAAAAAAATTCTCGTCGATAATCGAAAATTTATATTCATTATATTATATTTAAATATAATATACTGTAATATAATATAATATAATATAATTTAAATATAATAACAACACATTTAAAAATTATGGTAAATTTTCACCCTTTTTTAAAATATGCACTAAATCCTTTAATAAATTGCAAATCTCGAGTAATCCACAGCAAAAATAATAGAAGAAAGCAAATCGAAACGGATCCCTCCGCAAATGTGAGTGACGGTAATTCGTTGTATTTTTCAAGCATTTTTGCTCTAATAATTAAACCACCTAAACGATAAAAAATTTCACAAATTGTTTAGGAAGTAGATAAATGAAAAAAGATATATTGGTTGTTGATAAGATAAGTTGCTGCGATAATACAGAAGTATGACGTGAAATGCATGGCAATAATTTTTTTGCCAGGCTACCTTTGATTGTTTTCAAAATTTTCTCCATCCACCATAAAAGGTTCATATATGGCAAATTCTTTCTTGTGAACAATAATTTTCGATCATTTTCAAAACTTAAGAATATTATTATTGGGATTCTTACAAGATCTTAAATTCTGGTACAAACATAATTTTCGGTGAATTATTAATTAAACGTGGAAAAACCTTTAGGGCCCTTTCGTAAATAAATAACAACTAGTGTTAGCCAGGCTGCTAATGTACAAATAATAACAATTGGTACAGCAAATACCATCCATGATATAAAATTAATACCAGTGTCGGCACGGGGGAAAATCCTAAAATTTTCAATTTCAAAAATTTAGCAGTGCAGAAAAAATTGGATTTAGAGTTTTTAAGAGTTCGAGAAAGAAAATAACAGATCTGAAATGATGAAGAGTTTTCTAAAATATATTGTTCTAAATAAGGCTTACTCCCTAATTTGCCCCATGAGAACAAGATTTGATGTATTCCCAATTATAGTACCGATACCACCTATATTGGCGGCAAGCGCTATTCCTATTAGAAGTCCTTTTGCCAGTTTATATTCTCCTTTGTTAAACACTTCGGATGGATCTCTGAAAAGTTGTTATCGAAGATTCAATTTTTGCTGATTGCTGAAAAGAAAAGAACCAGAATCACCTTGTTTAGAGAAATACGAGCTTTGAAGCGAATTGAAAACGCTAATCAAACCGTCCTTTTTCAGGACTGATTCTGACTCTGAAATCACCGGATTCAATGGTATTCTTCAAGAACTTCAGAGCCTTTTCACATTCTAACGTCTTAATAAGGTTATAACTCGTATTAATTTTTAAGGTATTTTTAAGAAACGGCCAATAATAAGTTTCCTTTTTTTCTAAGAGCGCTCACTATGATTAGGCTCATTCTTCTCGTTTCTTGTCGGAGCAGACAAATTTTGCCAGATAGTGGAGGTAGAAGTAAATTAGCCGTTCGTGTCACCTAAATTTTTGAAAAGTAGATCCACTCCTATCGAGAATAGAATTCTGGCACCTAAGATCCGGAATAAATGCAGCTATTCAATGACCCATTTTACTATTGATACTTCAAAAGTACTGACCTCAAACTAAAATTGCTGACGAGTGATTTCCGACGACCATCACTATTTTCATTGTGTCTTTCTTCAACAACCGCTTCATTTGTGATAGGCTGTGAAATGAAAATTTTATGAACGGTTTTGAAGCAATTTTTGCAAATATTTTATGCTTATCATATCATAATTGCTTCCAATATAATAGAAAAGCTTACTTAAATACGTAAAGGCTAAGTCATTTATTTTGGTTATCTAAGATTTGAGTCCAACTTGAAATGGCTTTAAAGTTAATCATAACCGTTCTTGCACTGATTCAACTATGGGCTGGCATTGAATTTTAAAAAAAGAAAAAATTGAAGAAGCCTAAGAAAAGAGTTATATCAGATTGGCCAAATATACAGTAAACATGACAAAAACAAGTTTTATCACCTAACCTGAAGTTCAGCTCTTCTATTGTTTTTGACAAATTCCATAATAACTGAGTTAGCGATGGGCACCATTAATGCAGTTGTTGCCGTATTTGATATCCACATGCTGAAAAACCCTACAAAAATTGCCAACTATTGGTTTTCGATTTGTAATAGCGGTTAGCACTTATCATTTCTGATTACACTAGCTCCGCTAATTATTAATATGGTTATGGTAATTTTTTTGCCAAAGAGTAATATGGTGATAGAAGTATAGAAGAAGCCAATCACCAGCATCACTCGCATTTTTCAATGATATCTTATCGGGATCTTACTTTTCAATAAATTGATCTGATTATCTGATTATCCACTCGCTTATTTTGTTCGCAATTTTTAAATTTGTGGTCTTAATTTATGGCCTTATGGCCTTAAATTGAACTATTCCAAAAAATAAAATTATCTAATCAGGTATTTTAAATTTGATATTTATTAATTTATTTATTGATATTTAATTCGATGTTGATATTATCACTTAATTTATCATGAGACAGTAAAGAGAGTATTATTTAATTATTCCAGAAAGATTATTTATTCATTTATTCTCCAGAATTAAATGTATTTTGAAAAATTCAAGGAATATGCCTTTAAAAAATCATCTTCCAATTTTTATATTCAAGCTATTAACAATTTGTGATTACATTTTCGGGATTAATTATGTTTATATTTTTATGCTTATCATATTTTTACCAATTTTTCTTTTTCTAGCGAGGCTCGTTTCGCTTGCTTATCACTTGGCTAGAGAATCACTTAGACGATAGAAATACGGGTGCATCACCAGCATTACACATTTATTTTTGGCAAAATAGTCCTAGCATCGGTGTTCCGAAGTGAAGAGAAGAGAAAAAACCCACTGAACTATTCCATTATTATTCATTACTTATTAAATTTGATCTATATCCATGGCTGCGGACTGCAGGTATTTCAAAGTCAAGTCTACGTAAGGCAGTCGCGAATTCAAATAATTAAATATGAGGCAGTTTAATACAAATATTCTTTTGAGAAATACTGCTTAATTTCTATAACTATAAATCCTAATTTCTCGAGCTTAAAGCCAAAGTCTTAAGGTTTCAAGGTTTCATCCATGAAATTTTAAGTGTGAAATTTATATAATTAGTTTGCAGAGCGTTAAATAAATAATTTTAACCCATTTGTTTAATTTTTATAATTTATCTTAATTTTTATCTAACACAATTTTCTTCTTACACACCATAGTTGTGTGTGTGTTGGCATATCAAATCAAATCAAAAACCTCATTCATCAGTCAAATCAAATAAATTCGATAATTGTTAGCTATTATCATTTGTTGAAAGTGATAAGTATGACACGAAATGATTATCTCTATTAATTTTGCATGAAAGTATTCGATCAAATATTCTTTTTACCGTGGAAAAAATAGTTTTCAGAAAAAAAAAATATTGCAAAAAAATTGAGTAAATATTTTCGTAACTAGTTTGTATGATTTTTTAATTTTTCGTCAAAGATTCATAAGTATATTTTTTAAAAAAATATTTTCGAATTAAACTTTTGTAAGAAAAAAAAATTTTTTTTTTTAAATTAAAGAAAAGGAATGACCTTAGAAAAGACGTAATTGCCATGAAACCCAACGTTATCCTGCAAATCTTTTAAGATATGTTTATTTATAGACTCTTCGCTTAACTTGGCTATAAATTTTTTACCTAAGCCTTTCACTGGTTTATATCAGTCAGTTATGAAGGTAAACATTAGGAAATAACTAGACGTATTATAAAATATTAGCAATGAATTACCAATGTGGATGAGGTGGAACAATCGTAAGAACAAATAGTGCAACCCGATGGTGCAATTTCGATTTTTGTACTGCTACAGCTACCATTAGTCCACCAATAAAAAGAAAACTTGTGTCCTGTAATAAATCGCTATATTCTCATTGATTTTCACTAATAATTTAATAAATAATATTTAAATTTTTAACAAATAATATAAATTTAAAATATTTAAATATTTAAAAAAAAAATCACTAAATATTTTTATATTGGTTTTGTGATATTTTTTATAAATTTATAATTGATACAAAATTTTATAAACTTTTGTCCATGACAAAAAGTAGTTTAAAGTTCATCTAAACTAAGATGGCAAAATATAAATATATTGTTTCTTTTTGCTATATTTATAAAATTTAAAAGACTTATTCGTAATTTTTATATGCATACAAACTATTATAAAAAAACTATTATTATTACTATTATTATATTACTATATTATTATAACTATATGTAATTATTGTAACTATAAAACTATTATCATAATTGTTATAAAACGAATAGATCACCATTTTCAAACCGAGGAAAATTTTATTATCTCACAACTTTTAATATAAATCTATCGATTTCGCTTAAATAATTACTATTACTTATTTAGATTTCAATTTAACTAAAGTTTTTTGGTAAAAATTTCTTATAAGAAAATTGCTCATTTTAGGCATTTTCGATGATATTTTTAGGTATTTCCAATGACTTTATTTAAATTAATATAATTAATAAAATTAATAATATAAATTAATATAGAATTGTTTGATAAATGATCGTTAGTAAGAAATTCGAGTTTTCGATAGTATTTCTAAAATTTTGTTTTAATTAGAACTGGAATATCTCAAGCTAGTTGCATTGGTCCATATACAAAGTATTTGATGATTCTCATAAAATATCAGAAGATATAAGATTTACTCTTATAAAACGCTGATAAAAACATTATTGATAGATATTGATAAAATTAAATGGTTGTTAAAATGGTTGTTAATTTCAGAGCCGAGTTTATTATTTGGTACATTCGATAAATTTAAGGTTATCAATATTGATTCTAAATCTAAAAGCTTCGTTCAACTAACAGTTTATAAAAATATATAAAAATTCCTAAGGCCTCATTTAAAATAGAAATACAGTCCTATCAAAAATCTAATTGCTAAATCTAGTTTCATAAAATCTAATCTAATTTAAAAATCTAATTTAATGTTTTCTATATCATCTCCTTTGAAGCTAGGAAAGTGGAAGCAGAAACATTTTATTAGGGCATTTTAAGATTTGTGCCATTAGCCAATTATAAATATAAATTAAAACGTCGATTTCTTCGAGATTAGATTTTTTATTTTTTATTTTTTATAGAATATATTTATATTTACGAAATGATTTTTGAATTTATTGTTAAAATTAGTTTGCAATTATTACTTTAAATATTTATATTAATTAAATATTATAGCTTTAATTTTTGAACAATTCAAGAAGAAGTGAATAGATTAAAATAAAAATAATGGAATGCTTAAATTTATTCTGTTGAATAATTTGCGCTTAAATAATTTATATCTAGCAATTTATCAATTTATAAATTTATTAATTAATCAATTACTGCAATAAATTATCAAAATAATATTAAATCAATCAATTTTGCTCTTTAAATATAAAAATTAATCAAAATTTCTATTTATACGAATGACGCTGGTGACAAATATGTACTAAGTAACTTCCTGGCAAAAATTGCCTAGTATGATAAGCTACTGGAACGAGCTTTATCAGAAATGATAAATATTTTTAGAAAAACAAAATCCAATATTATTCCAATCCAATATATTAATCCAATTAATCCAATATATTTTTGATCACTGATCATTTTTCTTAGAATTTTTTTTATTCTAAATTTTTTTTCACCATTTTTCATTTGCTTTATTTGTACAAAATTATGCGCTATTTCTTATTGAATAAATAAATTAATTAATAAATTCGGTGAATTTTAATTACACCAATTGTAAAACGAAAATATAGTACCGGTAAATACATTTGTGCAACAGCATCTGACTTCATTAATCCAAGAACTGGGAATAAAACCATTGGTAATAAAGCCGTAACCGCTAATGGTATGGACTCCATAACCCAATAGATTGCCATAAGTACAACACAATATGCACATTTTGCTTCATTCTATAGAAATTACTTGAGAAATATGTTATAGAAATTAATGATACTTTTAATATAACGTCTAATAAAGTTTATGATAGTGAAAATTTATTCAATTTCATAAATAATTATTCTTTACTTACTTGACTTTCTGGGAAAAGAAAGAGAATTGGAAGTAAAATGATTGGAGTAAGAATCATTACCAAAGCACCTCGCGAATACCATAATTTATCACGCAAAGTTATTCTAAAAAGATTATTAAATAATTTTAAGATTATATTATTAAATAATTGAATAATTTTCAAATAATTTAAGGCTATTTTAGAATGAGGAAATTATTTTTATTATGAATTAATTATCAAATCCATAGTTGCCGTTATAAGCCCAAACGCACATTACAGCCAAAAGCCAACGCTCCAAGGCTAGCTAAATAGCCAATGGAGCCAGAAAAAAATGCATATTGTTTCACTGATAATAATATGATTTTAATTATTGATAAATTATTATTATCATTAATTAAAAAATTATTAGGTTAATTTAATGAAATATTAATAGTGATTTTTCAGATTCTTGTGAAATTATTCTTACTGCGAAGAGATGAACCAGAATAGATTTATTTAAAAGAGACTACTATAATCAATGCAAATAATCATGAAAAGGTAAATTTTTGAGCGTGTTATTGGTCTCTTTTTCGAAGCGCCGATGCTGGGATTCTATTGCCGACAAAAGAAAAACCTGTCTTTCAAAAATCCGGACTATCGGCCCACCTGTATTTTTCTATCGCCAAATAACTCTCTGGCAAAATTTGCCTGATCCGATAAGCCAACGGAGCGAGCCTAATCGGTAATAATGAGTGTTCTTCAAAAAAAAAAAATGTTGATAAAAAATTTTTATTTTATTTCTGTTCGTGTTTATTAGAATAGCTCAAAAATTTTTCATGATTTTTAAGAAATCCAATCAAATCAAAATTTTTTTTTTTAAAGTCCAACTTTTGTTGCGTATAATAATGTTTGGGACGAAGTCGTTGACTAGGCGGTATCATTTGGACCAATGAAAAATTTGCCTGCAATTCGGAATGAATTT